GTTTAGGGTTTAGGGTATAAGGATGATAGATGATGATAGCATATTGGGGTTTGTTTCAGGGTCCCTGCGTTTTGAAAGCCCCCCCCCTCCCCTCCGAGTGTGCATGTTTCAGATTTGGGGTGTAGCGTTCCCTGTTGCCCATAGGGTTTTATAGGGATCATGTATGTGGGAGTATCTAACCCCAAATAACGGAGAATCAAATGGAAAAGACCGTGGAAAAACAAACGGAAGCTCAGCTGTGCGGGTTCAGGGTAAAGTTTTGGAGCCCAGTGTCCGAATTTACGTTTCAGATTTAGGATTGGGCTTAGGTCTATCGGGAACAGGATCCAACGGCAACGGCGCGAGGCATGAGCTATCAGTCAGAATGTTGGTAATGAATGATCACTCGCATCCTAGGCAGGGGAAAGCCCCCAACATAGCAGTTGTAACTAGGTTATGTCTTTGACTCTTTTAGAATTTCTTTGATACATAGCTCTCTAGCATTTGATGATATACATGCCTAGCCACCATCATCCCTTTTCGTCCGCACGGCAGGGGTTGAGAGCAGATCAATTGCAACCCAAGCCAGGGTTGAATCCAGTTCGAGTTATGTCATGCTGGAGTGGGGTCCAACCCTGTTTGCTCAAATAGATTGATGCCAGAATTTCTGCTTTGATTGACCTCAGTCGCAAGTATGGCTGACGTAGGGGAACGATAAGGTCTGACTGTATGGTTGTCGTGCTTGCAAGCCTAGCTGCAAGGGCGCCTTCTAAAATGATGCTTTCTCTTTTCCAGCTGAGGCAAAGGCACCCTCAGCCACAGTGAGTCAAGCTGCTGAGAGTTAGACTTACTAGCAAATTTTAGTTTGCATGCTGTTTATGTAGATGGGAGATTCGCTCAGGTACAAGAGGTAAGGAATCAGCCGACAGCATGAGTATTCAGTTTCCAAAATGTGGAGGTTCTCATTTGAGCCCTCATGCTTGGGATTTGTGCGCAGTGGGTCAATGTGCAGGCCCGATCAACAAGGGCAATGGGAGTCAGGTCGCAATATCGGATCTAGCTTGTGAGCGCGCAGATCTACAGGTCAGAGCATCCAATCCCCCTGAAGTAGGGTTGCGGTTAAGGAACTCAATCTAAGTTATTACATTATCCCCCAAGGCCCTATAATGGAGAATCAAGCGGAAAAGACAATGGAAAATGAAATGGAAACTGGGGGCCTGAATCCCCCTAAACCCTAAACCCAGAAGCGCGATGCGCGTGTCTAAACCCTGAAGCGAGCGAAACGCCCATAGTAGAATGTCAGAGCTTTGCATCTGCGACACAGCGGGATTTGCTTCGAAGAGCCAGCGAGATCCTATGCAGTTCTTGAAGGAGATGTAGAGTTTCGCCAAATTAGGGGTACCTTTTAAGGGGTTTCTATATTATGGATTATAGTATATTGGGTCTATATTGGGATCTATATTGGGGTCTATATTGGGGTACCCTAATTTTGGGAAAGTACCAAGTAGCTGTTGGTAGCAACCACGTTTCTATGTACGGCTGCTAGTGCGGGAATGCATCGTTGAGTACTACCCCAGATGTTCCCTATATAACCCCTTTATACGCTCTACATAAGCCTTCCATAGGCCTTGTATAGCCCCCCGGGATTTCGTGCGTTGTGAGTCTGAGGCCAACGTGGCCCCTCAAGCTTCAGGATGGATATCTTGGGCCATAGGGTTTAGGGTTTATATATGTGGTATCTGTGATCCCAGATATAGATGCTGATATCAGATTCCATGACAATGATCAGGGGATGATGAGGTTATCCCAAGCCCCAGAATCGGGACCCTAGAACTATCACATGGCTCTTATCAGGGTCGTTATTTTCAGGGTTGGGGTTACGAAAATCCTCTTGTGTAGTAGACTACCCTAGAAATCCTTCTATAACCTAAACGTTAAACTTAACCCTAAACCTTAAACCCTAAAACCCTCTGTAACCTCTGTAAAATTCTCAGGCAAGGCCCTTCTCATGTCCCTCCCGTGAGGAGGAATTAGCCTGGGCCTGTGCTTTGCTGTTCGGGATGCTATCGATCCGTAGGCTGAAGGCAGCTGTTATGATGGTTATTGTTATTGTTATCATTAGTATTATTATTGAAATATCATTATTATGATTATTATTAGTCTATAGTTATTCTTGAAATATTGTTATTGTGATTCTCATTGCGGATATTAGTCTTGTTTTGTAGAGCTTCAATATGCGAACACCGATCGCAGGCCTCAAAACGGTAGACGTGGCAAGCAGGCATGAAGCGAAGTCCACATTTTGGAAATTGAGCATGCGCTATGGAAAAAGGGCCGCGGTGTGGGTTGGCTGACAGGGCAGTCTTTCTGCAGTCCAGCCTTCTCAGACGTAGGCATTTAAGATGTCTTGCGGCTGCTCCTGTTTCCTGGCTCTGGCTGACTGCAACAAAAGCCTGATGTTGGAGGTGGTCAACCGCGGTCGGCTGACCTGAAAAGCTTGTTGCGCATTCCGGTGAAAAGGTGAGCTTGAAGCACGAAGGCATGCCCGATAGTCAGACAACCTTCTGTTATCCTCTGTTGAAAAGCCGTACAGTTATGATGGGTGTTTGCGGGTCATTGGGGCAAATTTCATCCAAGACCTGCAGCCGCAACACGTGCAATATCATTTTCAGAGGCCTCTGATTCCCTTGCCGCTGCCTGAAAAGTTGTATCTGTGGTGCCTGCTCAGCATTCACCAAGAGTTCAAAGAGCAAGACCTCGTGAGCAGCATCCCTCCCATCCGTTTGCAGTCATGGGCAATATCGGATCCTACGACATGAACACCCCTCCTGGTGGAGTGTTGCTCATCTTGCAGAATCCACAGGCCGTCCGCAGAGCGTTTGCAGCTTGAGCTTGCTCTTGTTCGCTGCTTTCATGGACATGAGCTTCTGTGTTGAGGATTGCTTCACTGGCAAGCCGACCATGAAGGAGGGGCCGGAATCCATTGCAGACAGTCACAACAGGGATGGGTGCTAGTTGGGGCGCTTTGCTGCAGGGTTTCGCGCGGTTATTAGCTCTGATGAGGAGACGGCGAAACCAATGGCGCTCGCGTCCATGGAAGACACAGCGTGGAAGAACTTTGCTGGCAAAGTCAACGAGGCCTGCAGCGGGCGCCCCGTCAGCACTGCATGACAATTCCGGGGCATGCTTCAAGCAGAATAAGTTTGAAGGAGGATCACAGCTCTGGATTACTAACCTCCGCAGTAGGGTTTGACGTTGTCTGATCCTGTAGACTTGGAGTTTCTGATGTCAATTTCTCATGCGGCTGCATGAGCCATTATGAGACATAAGATAGGGGGCAGTGGCAAGCTGAGTTTTCTGTTCTGGTTCTTAGAGGCTTTCACATGGGTAGTTCCCAAGATTAGAGTCCGACTTTGGTACCCCTTAAATATTAGGTGCCGTGATAAGTAATAACTGTTAAAACCAAAAGGGGCTCATAGGTTTGAGAATAACCCACATGTTTACCTCCCAGCCTCATGAGCCACAAAGCGGCACTACAAGCTGTCATGATTTGTGGGGACCCTGACTCCATGTCATATATGAGCCATAGTCTAAAGTCCTTAAAAGGGTTATATAGGGGAGTATATAGGGACTACTATACGGGTCACTAGGGTGGATACTAGGGGTTAAGACTATAGCTCATATGCCCAAGCCTGGTGATGCCATGCCTTGCTTTTGCACGCTTGGTCTGTAGAGAAGGAATGGAACACCTGTATAGAGTATTTTCCATGGAGGAAATTGGGACTCCTATAGGGATCCATTATTCCACACCTCACTCACCACCAGTAAGTCCTCCCATCCAAGGTTCATGAACTAGTTGGACCCTCCGACGGCCTGGCCTGTAGGAAAATGCACTCAAAAGTTTTCCAGAATGCGGTGGAGCCTTCGTAACATGCTGCCTCAAGTTTATCCACCTGAGGTGTTTCGACGAGCGTCTGCCATTCATTGGCTTCATCTTCGTCCTCTACCCCTTCGTCAGTGTTCTCCTTAGAGTTTTCAGTATGGGATCTGGTGCAACCGACGATTCTGCGGACTTCAACGTGAATGCCATCATCACCTTCGCATGCGTGCTAGCTGCTGTTGGCACGATCTTCGGTGGCAGAGCCTTGATCTGTGGAAAAAATCAGGCTCAAGACCAGATTATCCGCATAGCCTGCCAGGAGCTGTCCTCAACAACCGCTTTCTCTGCAGAGTACCGTACGCGGTGGACGGGCGTTTGCAAACCCAAGAACGCAAGGACTGCGCGGATCATCGAGATCTCCGCTGGCTCTGCCATGGCTCCCGTGCAGAGCATCATGGTGACCGTCCCGCCAGGGGTCACAGCAGGCGGGGCTGCATGCAAAGGCTTTCGTGTCCCAGAACCGCTCAGAACCTGATACGTTGAACACTCTTTCTCCTTGATGCGAGTCTTTTTCTGCCTGGGGACGTAAAATGTGCCTGTTTGAGCCCAATGGGCTCCTGGCAGGTCAGACGCTACAGGTGCAGACCCCAATGGGCCTAGCCAGCTGTACGGTGCCCCCGGGCGTCCAACCAGGACAGCCATGATGGCGTTGCTTTGGTCAGGGCTCTCGAAGGCCGACTTCTGGGCGCTGTAGAAATGGAGCCTTGCAGGGCTTTGCTGGCCTAAACAGGTTTACTGGTAGCTGTCCAGCGGTGCTGTGCGAACTGCTTGAAGTTTGAAAAATCTTGTTGTGCTTTCTGCTGCATCTGGTTTGGTTTTGTTGTCTTCTTTTCTTCAGCTGCTGGATTCTTATGCTTGTCATTCCCGTAGTCGCCGCTGCTGCCGTCGCCGCTGCCGTTGTGGCTGCTGCTGCTGCTGCTGATGCTGCTGCTGCTCTTGCTCTCTTGATCGCTCGTAGTACTGTGCCAGCTGCTTTTCTTCCTTGGGTTATTCTGACACTTGAAAGTTTTTTCAGCATGTCGAGCCTTGTTGCCAGGACAAACCTTCTCCTTCACACCTACGGCCGTGCCTCCACCGGTCATCGTGCAAGCTCAGGCAGTAGAAGGGTGCCGTCTGAACTTTCATGAGCAATGATGCTGCGTTCAGGGCAAGAGAGTTGGAGTTTGAGCCGCTGACTCGACAAGATTTTCAGACATCCAGTATGATCTGTTCTTAAAGATGCCGCTGCACATGCCCACGGGCCTAAGTCCAATCTACTCCAGCTCCTGCATTGGTTCCGTTCCTTGAAAATGGGATGGTGAGCAGTCTTTGCCTCTTCTTGGAATATCTTCCAGCCAACGCAGCAACTCCGATCTCGTTACCACCTCTGACTTGCATGGCCACTTCGGGCTTGGATGTTCGTTGATGCAGGTGGTTGGTGGTCCTGGCGCTGATGGTGCCAAAGAGGAGAGCATGGCCTGAAGGAAGCTACCGTACGTGAGCCGCAGGGTCAACAAGGGTTGGCACATCGGCAAAAGTTCCCTGCAATTTTCAAGGAGGTCGAGCTGCAAGTTTCGGGGGTCTGTGGTCCTACAAGAGAGCCCCCCTCAGCTGATATACACGCAAGTCTGCTTTTTAGATAAACACGTAGGGGACCAAAAAGCTGTGCACAGTTCACCTCCATGGGAGCTGGACCCACGTCTATCATCCCCTCAAGGGGACTCCGTCACACACGCACGATGATTCTTTCCAAAAGCAGCTCTCCTGGTAAGGCAGAACCGCCGCAAGTGTGCTAAGGAAGGCAAGTACTGTAGTAGTTTTAGGTGGGGTATGGGATTTGCCCAAAGCCCTAAAACCGAAACCCTAATGCTGGGTTTGGCGATGCCTGGCAGAGAGCTGCATGCAGTCGTTCTAGCGCCCTGTACCTTCGCTATTTCTTCGGCTGGTTGGCTAAGCCACCTGGGAACTCTACCCCAACATCCCTTGTTGGTTTTTGTGTGCAATGCATGGGAGTCACCAAATTAGGGGTACCATTTCTGGGTCCCTATAATAAGGGTTCCAGTATTTTGGAGTAATTATATTGGGGTCCCCATATTTATGGAAACCCCCTTGTGAGCTGTAGTCGAAACTCCTTAGAGGGGGGATTATATAGGGATTATCAATAAAGACATACAGACTATTAAAGAGGTTATTAACGCGGATACGAGGAGTTTAGACTATAGCTTAGGTAGACCCCCCAACCACTGATTTCAAGGGGTCATAACGATGATATTAGGGTCCTCTTATATTCCTATTATACCTAAACCCTAAACCCTAAACCCTAAACCATTATTACAGGGTGGGGGGTCCTCCTCAACTACAGCTCTGAGGTCCCCCCTAGAACAATGGCTCCTTAATATGGAATTAATAGGGCCTTAATATACCTACGATAATCCCTTGTGGGTGGGGACTGATCCTAAACCCTAAACCCCTAAACCCTAAACCCCGCAAAAAGCTAAACCCTAGCTCATATGTTTCCTTGGATGCACTAGGAGAGGACCCAAGCCGACAGCCAGTGGGGCCCACAGAGATGAACGGCGCTTTCCAGGAAAAGCGCGTCCTCGAGATGGAGGGCTCCTAGAATTAGGGGATTGGGGGTTTAGGGTTTAGGGTTTAGGATTTAGGGTTTAGGGTTTAGGATTTAGGGTTTAGGGTTTAGGATTCAGGGTTTAGGGTTTAGGGTCTATTATATTTGGGGGTTTCCCAAAATTAGGGGTACCATTTTGAAGGTCCCCATAATAAGGACTATAACATTTTGGGGTCTATACAGTGGGGTCTCCCTATTTTGGGAAGCCACCGTTTATGTGGGGCTATGTAGGGTTTGGGTTTTCCCACACTCAGGGGCCCTTTTTTGGGGTCCTCATAGTAAGGATTATAGTGATTGGGATCTAGATTTATATTGACCCCCATAGTAGGAACCCAGCATACCATGCAAGGTCAAACGCTACACCTTGAGATTCGGTCATGCTTAGGGCTTAGGGTTTAAGGTTAAGGTTTTAGGGTGCCCTTACCACGGATAACTCGAGTGCGGACAGAAAACCCTAAACCCTAAACCCTAAGCCCTAAGCCCTAAGCCCTAAACCCTAAACCCTAGAGGATCCCTCCTGGCTACAAGAAATTTGCGAAACTGGCAAAACCCGCAAAGCATCCTACGGAGATGCCTGATAATCTTCATGTAGTTGCCAGCAATCCCTCCGTGACCCGCTTGGATTGAATCTTTCATATACTTGTAGGAATTCAGCTGAGTAGTATTTTATTTGGGGACACTATGGTACCCAATATAGAGTAAGATTATATCCTCCTTTTGGGGTATAGTATTTTATATAAGGAATATAATCTTACTAGGTTCAACCACCAAAAAAAACGCTACTCAGCTGTG